AATGTACCCAAAAACTTGCACAAGTCACGATCTTTTATGCAAATTTTGAGCATTTTATAGATGTTTTAGACACTTGGAAATATTTCCAATCGATAGAGCAGATGTTGTTCTACTAAAATAGCCCAAAATCGAAAAATCGGTTTTAGACACCTAAATCGACTTTTTCTGGCTGTTGGCTACTGCCGTGGTGTTCCTTAAAATAATAGAATTTTGAAAATATGTTACTTTCCCTGCACATTGAAAGTTGATTTAATTAATCATCTATGACGAAAGACGCAGAATGCTGCAAAACCTGATGCAATATAGCAGCACACAGCACAAGGATTGAATGATGTCTTGCTCTTATGTGAAGAGAAATACTAGTATTCTCTTTTGTCTGATCAAAATTTGTGAGAAACAACAGCTAAGCATGTTACTTTGATTTTCAAGAGCTTAAACATTGTGTGAGGAGTCTTTTGAGTTACTTAAGTTACTTTTTTTTTATAAACGTGGGATTTTTTACAACTCCATCAACACAATTTAGAAGGCAGGTCAACCTGTGCCGAGAGGGACACAGCATCCCACCAGAAAGACTGAGGTATCTGATAAAAGTTCTCCCCGCTCATGAATCGTACATGAGTCTCCTACATGCAACGGCGAAGCTCCTAACTGCTATATCACAGATGGCAGTAAAGTTACTTTGAGCCTCGAAATTGAGAAGGAAGTTGAAAAGTGACGCTACATTTTTGTTTACACTACAATGCTATTATTAGCCCTACCATTTGCTGCTCCTGCAGTAGTCTCTCTGACGGCCGGTTCTTGACATACTTGAACGATATAGCTTCCCACAAAGGAAAAAGCAATGCTCACTCAAGAGCAAGTCCTTGATATAATAAAAAATTACCTTCCTTCAGACAGTCAGATGACATTAGCAGATCTATGGGAGCTGTGAGCACTTGTAGATTTAGAGATTTTCATTAAGTCATTAAGAACCTAAAACATTAACACTCCCAACTAACCTCAAACAATGGATTGAATATATATCTATTTTAAAGTAAAATTTGCCTCCCATTTTCCAACATTATGAATATGAAATAAGGCATACTTTGTTTTGTCAGTTGACTACATTACAACATATTTGTAGGCCTATACAATGTTAAGACTCCCCATGACCCGCTTTTCATAATATTCCCGTCTAAAAGTGGAAAAAGCCTCCATAGTGAAGGAGTAAACTTCACACATCATTTAATCAACTAAAATTGGTAAACTTACAAGAGCAATGACATTATGCACAGCCTTTGCACTAATACCATCCCCATATGTTTCATCAGACTCTATTTCTTCCACTAGGGTAGACCCGATGTACTTGAGATAGAAGGTGACTCCGTCCTCCACGGGCTCCTTGTTCTCACCCCATCCTTCTGGAATTTCTAAAAGCAGCGATAAAAAAAAAAGTTTAAGTGCCAAATTAAGAATAATATATGTATCACATCCAACAATGAGAAAGTTAGCATCATCAAGCAAGTAGAAGTAGTTTTATCCCGAACAAGAAAATTTTGTAAATCAACAAATTCCAAGAAATGACAGATGTCAAATCAAAAGTAAAACAAGTTTTCCTTGCAAGGGCCTCTTTGCAATAAGTATTATTATCATCATGCTTTCATGGCCTCTCTCAACAAGATAGTAAGAAGACATGAAAATGATTAAACAATGGTAAAAAAAAGGTTCCGTTTTTAAAAAAAATTAGGCTAGAAAGACCCACTGAAAATCTTCCCTGTGTAAAAGGAGAGAAAAGCTGTGCCAGAACTGTACACGTCTATGTTACGTGCAGCTGTCTAACTTTAACAGTAGTAACACCCTCTTTGCATTGAGCCCTTGTAGTCACTCAGTGCCACTTTGCCCTTGGAAAAATATTAGACTTTAGAAGTACAAATCCGAGTGAAGTAAACATTAGCTTGACAAGGTGTTTGTTGTGGATGAAAGCCCAGGCCAATGACAAAATGGATCAATGTTTGAAACTTAAAACAATTACTAAGGTGGATTCGTGACAAGGACCTTTTTTTCATCACACATTTCATTACGTAACATTTAAAGTTGATAAGACTACAAGCCCTGCCCATAACATCCCAAGAGAAGACTATCCATGGCCATTATATTATGAATTCTAAAGCCAGATTACTAGTTTTTTATTTATTGATTACTAAAGCATAGGCTGGTGGGTCTGGGTGGGCAGCCCTGCATACACAAGCACAACTTGCTGGACGACAACATGACTTTAAAACTCTTTCTTCCTCTTTGCCTTCTCCTGTTAGACTATTGACTATTTGATTTCAGGGGTAGTCAAATGCTCATTTTTCAAAGGCAGCTGAAGCCTACTCTCTATTACGATTTTAGGATCACCAAGCGATCTTTATTTTAACATGTGCAACATGTACAAGGACCTCCACGATTTTTTGCCTTTTTCCACGAAGGCTACCTTCGACGATAAAATCAGGGGTGTGGCTGAAAGACAGCAGTAAGATGAAGTCAGAAGCAGTAGTAGAAATAGTTGGGAGTAAAGGAAAGAAGAGCAGAGAGCAGGGGTAGGATAGGGGTGAGAAAGTGAGACGAAAGCAGAGATGAAAAAACAGGACTAGAGACCTGGCTACTTTGTCTTATAGCAGCCCTCTCTAAAGAACCAGAGCAGAGAGTATTTACTGTGAAAAACACTATTAAACAAACTTGTTGTGTAACTCATTTAAGTGTTTTATGGCGCTTGCAACTGCATAAGGTCATATGAGCACATGGGACACATTAAACATTTAAGTTAAAGTAAGGTAAGAATTTTGAATTTTGCCGGGTGGCGGCCAAAGCCTACTCTTATCTATTTTATGACCACCAAGGGATCTCCAACGTGCATAACTTGCACACAGGGCCTCTGAGATTTTTTGCCCTTATCCGAGAAGGCTAGGTGTTAGATCATACCAACCATAAGATCAGGGGTGCGGATGAAAAACAGCACTAAGAAGGAACAGCATTAAAAAGGCTCCCTGAGCTCTCTGAGCAAAAGCTGAATTCGCCCGGAGGCTGACGTCACTGCCGCGCGGGCGGTGTTCGGGAAGGCCTCGCGCCCCGCGCAGAGAAGTTTCACATTGTGACAGAGGCGATTTACATACGAGCCGGCGTGATAAAAAAAGATGACAGAACGAGTCTGTAGTGCGACAAGACACCAAAGAACCACTATTGTCTCTTAGAGCGCCTTCAAATCACCCGAGTGCTTTTTGACCGTTGATTAGATATTAATGTGTATTTACTTGAAACTAAATAAAATTGTCGTCAGCAATCATTCTCTTGTCCACTGTACTGCCTACAAAAACTGACAGGCACCACCGGTCTTGCCCAGTGAAAGAACCGCGCCTGGATATAATATTGGACACCCCTGGAATTTTTTAAAGTCAACTTGGCAGTGACCAAGGTGATTTGTCGTTGACCCCGATTTTTTTCACCAAGTCCCAATTTTTTCCCCCACTGAGATCCTGACTTTTAGATATCACAGAGTGGCAGGTCTATTTTTCTTGGAGTAGTATAGTCGGAGTTGACCCCTTTTGGTTTGCCAACTTTACTTTATTTTTGATAGACTCAACTGCTCAACCACTACCACTCTTCCCCCCTCCAAATGGACACAATTCTAATTCTAGTCAATATTACTCATTTATTTCTTAAGTTAATTAAAATCGTTAGCATTCAATCATAGTCAAGGTCACTCAATGTGTGTCTGTGTGAATGTGCGTGTGAGTTATAAGTTTGCAAGCAAAAAATCTTACTATAAAATTATGAGATATTGACTTTTACCCTTTAAGTTTCTAAAACAAGGGTTTAAATACCCCTTAAAATAGTAAACCAAAGGGTGAAGGAACCTCTTAACTGATTCCGTCCATTCGGCCGCTGACAGCGGCTCTGAGTTTTTCCGCTGCCTCCATTCGGCCGCTGCGAGCGGCTCAACGAAATCCGAAACAAAGGTGAACTTTTTAACATAGTTCCTACTTTTTAAGTTGTCGAAAGGAAGTAGAAATTGTAAACAAACCTGACCTCAATCTCTGAGTGCCAATATCGATCAAAACTCCGCGATATTCTTGCAAAAATCGTTGTTTTGTTGTTGCGATGTAGGCTAGGTCTAAGGATAAACTACACGGAGCCTGGTATAATAAAAATGCTCTTCAAAGAAAGATATTCAACTAAATTTGTGAAATTTTTGCATAAATGTGTGCTAGGCTGATATCACTACAATGTTGTGTTGATTCCTATGGATTATAAGGACTTGTAGAGTTGAGAAAATGCGGTAAGTCGAAATTTTCAAAGAGCTGTTGCGCAATTTTTTTTTTCTCATTCGTTTTTGTCAAAAGGAAAATGCAATACAAACAGATTATAGGTCATTGTTATTGACATAAACAGATTTTTCTATTTATTCCTATCAGTTTGGTATATATGACAATACATATTAGAGTAACTTAGAGCTTCAAGGTAATGCATTAAATAGATGCTCCCCAGGTCTAAAACTGAACATGGAAAAATAATTCTGTCCAGAGCCTGAAAAAATCATGGACGGAATCAGTTAAGTTGGCCTGAAAAGGGGAGCCCTGAGACAACAAAGTGGGAATCCCTCAATGACGTCAAACAAGATGGCTGTTACTATAAATATCAGTAAATGACGTACATGTGCACCATCTACGGATTATTTCCGAAAATGAATAGAGCTGCGCGATCTTAAGATTGTGCAAAGCAAGCAAGAATTGTGCCATCTGCCGATCGCTTGGAAACACACACAAATACATACAACATATTATTATATAAATACACACATAGAGGCGAGAGTGGCAGAGAGAGAGAGAGAGGGAGAGAGAGGTTTTTGTATATATACCCAAAATAGATAAAAAGTCACTTCACACCACACATGCACACGCTAAAACAACATACACACACTTTCTTTTTAATTTTTGAAATTAATGATAATAAATTCTGTCGAGTTTTGTTTGTGAACTTTGCAAAATCGTTTGTTTGTGTGTGATGCCGCGTCGCGCCCATCTTGACATGGCCGCGCTTTCTGCCGCTGCGGATCGTCATATGGTTCTGCGCCATCTTAAGATTGCGCTGATCGGCAAATGACGCTTGACATAATCACTAGATCTAGATTCTAGATCTAGATCTAGGCATACATGAAGCCATGATCTGTTCTGGTTCCGAGTTCCAGTTTCTCAACTTACACTGCCTCTGGATCTACTGACTGATACTGAATCTGATCATACTGTGACGATGGTCTAGATCTAGACCTAGATATATCTAGATCTAGATCTAGATCTAGTCTACTGACTGATCACTGATACTGTAACTGTAACTGAAACTGATCATACCGTGTGATGATGTGTAGTAATCTACTGCTGGGTACTAAAATCTAGATAGATAGCAGCAGATCTTGGGCTTACCCAGATCTAGATTAGACTCTTGATAACGATTGACATCGGGTTACAATATAGATCTAGATAAATCTAGATCTAGAGATCTAGATCCAGATCTACCTTTTTTACTACATCAATAAATAATCAAATTATCAAACATAGTACACATTACTTGAACGTTTACTTTTCCCTTGATCTTTGTGAAAAACATTCGGCGACTTCCGCACTGCCCTGAATAAGGCATCCATCTTGAAATGAGACATATACACTATGCCCTTTCAACTTTCAACTTGACCTAATGACCTAGTTAGGTCACACGATTGCGTGCTGGCAATTATTTATTTTAGGCCTATGTCATTGTTGTCTTGAGTCAATAAATTGATCAAAGTAGTCTAATTTAATTCACATTTAATTTAGATTTGAACTTGATCTAAAGTTTATTATGAGGATATTACTGTTGCATTACCGCCAGACCTGTCCACGGAGCAAAATGGGGTGATTAAAATTAATTGTTGATATATATATATATATATATATAGCTCTACTTTGCCC